TGAGATTTAATTATTGCTTTCAGGACATGATTTTTGTTGCTGCAGAAGGGCACGGTAAGTGCTGTTATGCAATATAACTGGTTTTAATTTCAGTGGCGATTCTCATGTGAATTTCAGGCACTTAATTATAGCCTGAAGGTTTTCAAAGTCATTGACCTACAAATTCTTGATTAACACAAATATCATGAATGTATAAAGAATTTTCTGTAGAGGAATTGCCTTTACCAGTTGCTTTGGAAAAGTTACCTGCTTTTGCAAAGAAGCTGCTAAGATGAAGTTTGGCTTCTGCTCTACATCTGAGTCCTACCTGGAGACAGCAGGTGGTTGGCTTGGTCTAAGATCTGTCAGCTTTTCAGACAACCCAGTTAGAGATAGAGAAGCCATTTAAGGATGAATATTTCAATCTAAAAATAGCATCAAGAAGAGAACATGCCTCATCTCTACAGTCCTGGAAAGTTTTATTCATTGGCGTTGTTCCTTTCCTCTCAGTGTTCACAGCAAGACAACTGAAAGTCAGCGTTCACAGGGTTTGACAGGTAACCCTGGAATCAATAATTGAATTAAAGTATTTCATCAAGAGAGTAAATCTAAGTCTCTTGGTAATATGGCTTTCTAGTTGACGATTAAAATTCTAGAGTAATTTCTGATGGGACTTTTTTCCTTTGGGAATTATTTCATTAACACTGAAAATAAGTGTATTGTTGTTAAGGAAAGTGCCAGGGTCAAAAGATATGGTCAAAATGTACATTTTAAAGAGTGTGTGTCATATTTCATATCAAAGTTTGCTTAGAGTTTGTACTGAAATTATGTAAAATGTCATTTAAAAAAGTAATTTCAGTGTAAGGTACTTTTTCACCATTCTGATTTTGAATTAGCTATCATTTCAAAATGCACAACATTCTTAGAAGTGGTAATTCTGATCTCTGTGCAGCTTTATTTTTACAGCTTAGATTCTATTTCCAGTTTCTTTTATTTACTGAATCCTGCTGGTACCATTTTGTTGGCCTACTCAGATATTCTTCTGTCAGATGTAATTCCTCTTATGTAGGTGGAATTTGTGAATGAAATCTTTTTCTTCATTTTCCTTAACTGTAAGGGCAGCCTCTACATAATGGTGCTCATTCAGGCATTCTCAGCACAGAATAAATGCATGCTGTGAGAATGCTTAAACATCAGGCTCAGCTAGAGGAAGAGGAAAGTGGGAATGATGTAATCCCAAAATTCTGTGAGAGGAGTTATTTAGTTATCATATAGAGCAGATTGTCAAATGTGATTTGTGTTGGACTGGAAGTTTTTTCCAAGCTTTTCAAATATTTAGGTTTAGGTATAAGGTGTTTTTAATCAAAACAAAGGTAAGATAAATAGTGGAATAGTACTTGGGAAATGGCAAAGTGAAGGATACCAACCAGGTGGTAATTTCAATTCAGAGCAAAGTGCCAGTGAGTTCATGTGATCCCTGTAATTAGCCCTTTGTCTCTTGCATGCTGAACACTTCTGCCCTCTCTCTCTCAACTTGAAGTGATGGATTCTGCATCCCAAATTCATGCCCATGGTGCAAGACATAAAAATGACTCCATTTATAATTCCATCTGCAGTTTGTAGATGATGAATGTACAAAGATCTTATTTAAACACAGCTGAGATAATTTGTGTAGCACTTGTGTCAAAAGGATCATTTTCCGAGGTTTCAAACTAATTTAACCTGCTAAAAGCCTTCTTTCCTTCCCCTTTATTTACAAAGGGGGGAAAAAAACACAAGCCTTAAAGTAGTGTGGATCTGGATGAGAGTTGAGAAAATTGAAAGATGTATCCCTTTGAAAAGGGAAGGTGGCACATACCTGAAGGACATGCACTGCAGACTCCATATGCTCATAAACACATGGATGAGTTCAATATAGAATTGCAAAAACAAGCATGGTTTCTGTTAATTTTGTTTGTAAAACATTACAATGAATGAAGCATGTGTAAATGTCTTGAAAGGATGTCAAATCTCACCTGCACAGGCAGAGTGAAAGCAGCTGGTGAGCTGGGTTTGCCAGGGAAACTGGCCCACAGACTGCCAAGCACAGTGCTTTCCTGGGTGGGGAAAAAAAATTGTTTGAGCAGATATTGTGTGTGCATATAAATAAATAAGAACAAATAAGAAGAACCAAGGTAAGCTGTGATCAGTCTGCTATGGAGGATAGAGGCTTTTCCAAGTTATGGTCACTGAACTCTGCTGTTATTGGTCTTCCCAGAGAGAGCAGTTTGTTCTCAGCCCAACGAGCAGATGTGCCAGGGTCCATGTCCAATGTTTTGGCCAACCCTAGCAAATCTTCCCCTTGGAGGAGCTGTGGGAGGATTTGGTTATGTTAGTGACATGAGGGACTAGAAAATAAACTACTGCCACTGTAAAACAACTATTGTTAGATTGCAGGCCATATTTTTTTCTCACAAGAATCCAGAAAAACATGTGATTTAAGGCTCATATCCTTCCACTGGACAAGAACCAAAAATTCTCATGTACTTTTAATAGCAAATATTGTCACTCTTCCTTTTAACAGTTTTAACATTCATCACCTACAAGGGACAAGTGCATATGCTGTCTAATTTCTACCAGTTATCTCAGTGATTTATTCTGTCTTTACGAGGTCCTACTAGCACTAATTGCTGTGATGGTGATGATAGAGTTTAGGGGCAATAGAGGTGACTTAAAGCCCTAAACAGAGGCAGTGCCTGTGCCAGGGAGCTTGCAGTGCCAGCTCCTGCCATGCGGAGACACAATGGCATTAACTCTGGGCTGCAGTGGCTCCTGAAGCACTGTAGGACTGCACGTTGGGTGAGATTTATCTCATTAAACTTTAGGTATCTGAAAGTAAAACAGTTACTCTAAACTGTCAAGGGCTATAGCCATTGCTAATGAGAGAACTCATTTGGAAGGAGACAGATCTGCATTGGAATGGGATGAATATGCAGCACTTTCTCAGGAGGGTATCATGAACTCTAAAATAAGATCAGGCACAGTAGAGAGCAAAGGCCACTGAAAGCCCTTAGGGTTGTCATGTCTAAGATTTATTTTTGCATTTTCAAATCACTATTCAATGTTCATCCCTTTCCTCTCCCATTTCCAATGAAACTAAAGGTCTGATTTAAAGAGAAAAGGAATTGCTTTAAAACCTGCTATGCTGAAAAAGACCAAAGGTGCTGCTACTCAATTTTTGTCATTCTGACACCTCACTAAATGTTGCAGTGCTGAACAGTGAGGGATTGGTACCCTGTTGCTTGCTAGAGGCTGCCAGTGGATTAATGATACAAGAAACAGCAAGGAGGCATAGCTTCTACATCTATGTTTCTATCCTATGTTTTTCACTAAATCGTGCTGCTCCCACCAATTCAATGGAATTAGTAAAAGCAAGCAAAATAAAAGCTCAGTACAGTCCTATTTCTTTTCGTGTGTGTGTGTGTTTTTTTTCCCCTTTTCCTTTTTTTCTTTTTTCCTATTTTCTTTTTTCTTTTCTTCACATTTAGTGAATAGTCCCTTGGTCCTTTCTGCTGCAGATCTCAACTTTATAAACTCCAAATCCACCTGAAGATAGGAGCTTATTTGCTATTCTTACAGTTTGTGACCTCTGTAAGATGTGGTGGGGCTGGCTATGGGTCTGCCCTCCCCTGCACCCAGGCACCCTCATCTGCCCTGTTCCCTGCTGGTGCTGAGTCTATGGGTGTCTGCAGTATCCCTGATCTCCCCTAATTATGAGTTACCAGCTTTTGCAGTATTTGTCTATGTAGTTTAGGGTACCATTTACCCCAGTGGGGGGTGCCTGCACTGTGACAGTTTAGAGGTAACAGTGGGGACCTGGGCAGGTTTGAGGTGGGACCAGGTGGGACAGGGCAGCTCTGAGGGTCTGTGCATATCTGTGTTCCCATGTAGTGACAGTCACCTTAGCCTGAGACCTGTTGAGAGAGCCTGCAAGATTGGTGGGGGGGAATGCTTCAGTTGTGTATTGTGACCAGAAGAATTCAACTTACTGTATAACTGGTTGTCATCCGCATTAGAGTTCTTTGGCTTTGGCATCTAGGGCCAGCTTTTCCCTATGCAAATCAGCCTGACATCAATTTCTCCCTGCAGAGTGATAGTAACTGGCAGCATTTAAGAACGTGACCTGCATTTACAGGCCCCTGCTGACCCTCTTTCAAGTGTATATATATTTATTTAAATGATTTGTCTACTGATATATGGCAGCTTGGTAGAAAGAGTTGTTACCACATTAACCTTTAAAGCACTTAAGTCCAGTTTAAGTGATTATTAGATCAACTTTGACAGGGTATTGGCTATTATCACAGATTATCACACATTACTGTAATACAGCATTTCTTTTTTTTTTTTTTTTTCCTAAAGAACCACCAACATGCTACCATTGCCATCAAAACCTCAGTTTTCTCACTCTGCTTTTAGAAATTTCTGCTCTCAAAACACTGCTATTACCAGGCAGTCACTGAAATGTGTTTAAGAGCTTTCTAGCTCTAGAAGACTGCAGGTGTTGGCTGCAAAAATGTGAACTAAAATCTCTTCATGTAAGCTGTTAAATCTTTCTAGTATTTGCCTTCCAGTGCTCTCCCCACCTGCTTCTTGTAAGTGATGTTTTCTGGGGATGCAAAATCTCCATGAATGCACATCCAGTGCCCACTGCTGAGTGCTATGGTGTCTGGCATAGCCACTTGTGGAAATCAAGATTTGTGGTTGGTGGGGTGTAAATCTGCCAGGGGTTCACCCAGGGTGGCAGTGGGTGGCTGAGCACAGAGCTGCCCTTCTGCCTTGCTTCAGCAGCATTTTGCAGGCATGTGTCCAAGGAAACCTGTGATCAAAGGCTCACAGAAATGTTTGCTGTCAGCATCTAAGGCTGAGGGACACTATGTTTCCTCAAAAAAAAAAAAAAAAAAAAAAAAAATCTAGCTCCACATTAGTGGAAAAATAACAGATTTACCTGCTAAACTCCACCACATGAGCACAATACAATGATGTTAGAAATAAACTGTGTATTTGTCAATGTTGTTTTCTGTGCTAAGAAAATAATAATAATCCAGTGCACAGAACAAGGCTAGGTGCCAAAAAGTGTTTGATTAACAAAGGTATCTGCTCAAACCTGCTCAGCAATGCCATACTCGATAAGAGATGGGCATTTTGAAGAGGATATTTATCCCACTTAATTTAGTCCTCTTTATTTATTGATTTATTATTTTTCCCTGTTTTCCTCTCTTGCCACTCATTGCAGTTACCTGGAGGACCAGCTTACACAAGACATTGAACTTTTGTCCTTCTGAAGGCCGGTATAGCCTCAGACTCACTTTGCATTCCCCTAAGCACTCTTGTCTGCATTGGGTCATGATCCTGGCTGGTAATAGCATGCTGGTGGGGGACATGCAGTGGGGAGCATTCACGGGCAGGAGGCTCTCAGGGTCTGGAGGTCAGTCTGCACATCCCCTGGACACACTGCTCCAGGCACTCCAATTCCTGGATTGGTGAAGATTCTCTTGGCTTATTTTTGTTAAATGATGCTGCAAATACACCGCAGCAGATGCTGGCAGCTCCTTGAAAGCAGCCATATAGATTGTAGCAGGTCTGTTCAGCTCCTCATTTTGCTGCTGCAGTTGAAATGCTGAGACAGCAAGCATGCAGGGCAGGCAGCAAGTGGGGACAGTCATATGAACACCAACATAGGAATCAAGAGCTGCCAGGGCTTTCCCTGATTTTGACCATGTTTTTAGGAAGAAGCGAAGTTTGAAAAGGTCTGCAGAGCATACCTGTCAGCAGGTGCTAGTCCCCTCCAGGGCAGACTGATCAGCTGTAGATGCAGCTGTGCTATTAGAAAGCGTGACTACCAATGTCTGGAGTATCTTGTAGCTTTTTCTCCTCAGTGTGCAGCAGCCACGTGAAGCATTAGCTGGATGTGCATGAGCCTTTCAGCTGCAGATAGGCGGTTGGGTTCGTCTGTGGTCTGCTTAGGGGTAGCACCTTCCAGAAAAGCAAAGGAACAAGCTGTTCTTGTGTGTGAAGAGTCTGTGTGTAAATATGTACTGCCTAACGCAAATGCCCCCGTGTTAAGATTTGAACAGGTTTCCTTTTGAAGGTGGAGAATTAATTCTTTGACAAGATAATGCAGACTCTTCCATTTCTCTCTTTAGTTTCACCTCTTTCAGTGTAGACTCCTTTGCTTATTCATAGACTCTAAGGACAGAAGACAACCTTAGCAGTTTCTCTGTGGTGGAAGAAGCCACCGCTCCAAGAGGCACCCAGCCATGGCAGGCACTGAGAGGTGGCTTGCCTCAGAGCCCAGTACTGCACTCCAGCCCTCCCTGCTAAGGGCACATGCCTGCACAGGACACACTGCTGATTCTTGTTGCTGTTTTCTTGGTTAGATTAAAAGTCATTCAGACCCTTGTATTTTTCTCCCTGTGAACATATTAATACCCTGTAATCAAATCACCTTTAGCCTTCTTTTTAATAAACTAAACAGATTGAGCTCTTTAATCACTCACTGTAGAGCATTTCCTACAGATCTCAATAATTTTTTCAGGTCCTTGCTGAACTCCCTCCTGTATTTAAACCATTATTGAGCCTGAGCCTTTAAAAAATATCTGACTATCATCTGAAAGCCTCAGCCACATTTCATGAATTACGCCTAGTGTTTAAGGGATGAAAAAATAAGAGAAAAGGATATGAAACTCCACACTTGCACATAGATAACATTAGCTAAGACATCTGGATGAATATCAGTGCTTGAAGTGATTTTCATACTATTGCTTCTGGTATCTGAGGAGCAAATAGCCTCTCATTTAATTTATACTGTAATAAAATCTACTATTGATTTTAATAAAATTGAAGACGATCATTTTGAATGAAATCCCTAAGGCAGCTTCTCCATAAAAAGCTTCTCTCTCTTACTTTCTTTGCACATGTACACTGCAATTCACATCTGATAACAGTGAACTGGGACTTTGTTTCTGGGAAGCAGGGAATATTTTTGAGTAAAGAGAGTGAGGAAAACCTTCTTGTCAAACTGTTGTTGGCTTTGCACTTCTCAGTTCTTCAGGATTTGCTACAGACACCACACATATAAACCTCATTTATGTTATTTTTCTGCTTGTACTGAGAAGTGAGTTTAGCTGTGCACAGGAATTTACAGAACTATGACTTAGAAAGAGATTTGCTGAGAAAAAAACAGCAGCACCACAATTAATATTCACCTTGATGTTCAAGTTTAACTTTGAAATGCTCTTCTGCAAGATGAACTGCTAAGCAGAATTAGGATTTCATTGTTGAATGAATATTCAATATGCATTTAATACTGTTTCCTTCTACTTCCCCAAACTGAAGTCTCTGATGAGACATCTCTAATTAGCTTTGTTTCTAAAGTGCTAAGAAGCAAAGGAGGAAAAAAAATAAATAATAAAAATTAAAAAAAGGCAACACAACAAGAGGAAGATGCTGGAAAATAAATTTGGCAAGAATGTTGGGACCAAACCTGCTCAATTACTGTGATCCACTGCAGTCCTCACTTGGAAGTGTCAGCTGGAGCCCAGGCGACATGCTGAAAGCAGGCGGAAGCCCTGGGGAAGCGCCTGGGTGAGGCTGGTGGCATGGTGCTGTGGCTCTGTGCTCGCAGTGGGGCAGGGTCTGCTGCAGCAGTGAGAGCACCTGGCCTCTGCTGAGCACAGGAGACACCGATGTTTTGCACACCTGTGCCTTTTGTAGCTGTTAGAGTTCAGAGGTGGAGAGATGGGAATTTCCAAAGGAAATGTCCATGACTGCTCGGGGGACTTGGCAAGCTTTGTTGCCCTGCAGAGAGGAACCTCCAAAGAAACAAACAACAATAATTACTGTGATCACTAATCGTCACATTTTGGTACTTTATAAACTGTTCTTTCTGCAAGAAGTCTGTAGCATGTTCACCAGGGAGCCTTTTATCTTCAAATAATGAGCTGTTGTGTATAAAGTATGGAGGATGCCTATTGCTTTATAACATGACTGTAAAAAGTCTCTGCATATGGCATGGTAAATGGAAAGGGAGAAGCATCTGCTGGCTGTGGGGCTGGCACTTGCACTGGGAGCAGCATGTTTAGGAGCAGGACTTGGCATGGACAAAGGGAGTGGAAATGTTCAGACATGCTCAGTGAATCACATTAGTAGTGTATTGGGGTGCATTTGGATCACCCATCTTGGGCAGCTCTTTCAGTATCCATTTTCTGACTTTTCCTTCTGAATGTCCACTTTTTCTCCATGACTTACTGTGTTTCTGAAGCCTATTTGAGCATGTAATAAGCACTGGTAACAGTGAACTGAAACTACCATTTTTTTCTCCCCCCTTTCTCCTTTTTACCCACCTTCTCTGGCAGAGCTCTGTGGGGAGTTCTTGGCATGTTGTCAGGGACAGTGAAGCACAGTAAAGGCAGGATTTTTATATCAACTGCAGCATTGCCATTGCAGGCAGGAAACGGTGTTCAAGACATGTGAATACAGGGTGATGTGAAGCACTGCAGGTTCCCAGTCCTTCCATGGAGCTGCCTCAGAACTGCCCACCTGGGGCAAGGTCCTGACTTCGGGTGTGTTGGGTCCATTCCTCAGGCCAGGCACAGCCTGACACTTGCAGATGCACTTATAGAGATAGGGACTTACGAGGCCAAGGGATCTACAGGAATTCAGACCTATGGAATCGATAGAAAAACACCTGCAATTCCCTTTGGCTCCTTGAAAATCTTGTCCTGAGCACACAGTGTCTCAAAGCCAGGGAGGGCTCTTCCTCCTTTGCTACACCTTCACCACTGGGCCCTGTGCCCTGAGGTACAGCAGGGCCCTGGGCTTCTCCAAAAGTCACAAGATGTTTGAAGGTTGTTAGCTGTGAGTTATGCACGTGAAAATCAAAAGCATTCCTTGTAAGCATGAGGGCAGATGAAAATGTGCATTAATCACAGTAGTGATATGAAATGGGAGATGCAGATCACAGGGAGAGAAAGTTTAGGTACAGCCTCCCATACCTTGTGGAGATGCACAAGGTCAGACTGCGTAGCACTGGACCTGCACTGGAGCAACAAAGCCCGGCTGATGGAAGCCAGAGCAGTGCTGGCTGTGTGGCCCCTTGCATGTGCTGGAATGCTGCAGTTCACTGGCCCTATCCAGAGCAGAAATCCTAGCAACTGCCATCACCTGGAAGCTGCTTGCATTTCAGGGAGCACTGTTTGTTTCCTGCACTTCTGCTCAGGAGAGCTGGGGCTGGTGCAGCTTTGGGTGGCCTCTTCAGAAAGCATTTGAATTAATGTACCACTTGCCTGAAAAGACACACACACACACACAATATATCACTTAAAATTTTTGCTAAGACTGGTTGTTTTACAGGGTGTGCTATTTTCTCATTATGTTGCTATCTTAAGGGAAATATAGATTTATTTTCACATTGGATTTATACAGTCAATAAGATGTGAGTTGAATGGTGAATAAGCACCCTGAAGGAAATTGCCTTGTCATAGTGTATAAGGATCTGGTGAGAACACTGTATTATCTCTGGTGTGTGATTGTAACACATGGTGAAAAGAGGCTTTTCCTTCCTTCCTTCCTTCCTTCCTTCCTTCCTTCCTTCCTTCCTTCCTTCCTTCCTTCCTTCCTTCCTTCCTTCCTTCCTCCCTCCCTCCCTCCCTCCCTTCCTCCCTTCCTCTTTTCCTGCACTCTAGTTGGCTTTTTTTCTTTCTTAATTTGTATGTTAATTATATATTAATTTAAAAAAAAAAAAAAAAAAACGGAATACAGAAACCGAAACTATTATCTAATATGGTATTTAAATACATGCCTGACTTATGGCACGGAAATAGGTCAGCTGGCTTCCCTGGAACTGTATTTATTGGAAACCATATTTTTCCTTTATAGGGTTCAATTGGAGAAAATCCATAGATCTTTTCTGAGTTTATACAGATGAAGAATATCAGAAGAGGAGGGGAGACCCATCAGAGTAAACACTTGGTCTGTTAGCTCTGACTATAATAGGAAGCCAGGATTGCGCTTTAAAATGAAATTTCTCTCTTGAGAAAAAGTATCAAAATCAATTTACATCTTGGCTCTATTTTGAGGATTTTTTTCTGGAGCCTTCTGATGGCTTCTACCACAGGAAATTGACCCCTAAATAATATGTAAACTTCAGAGAAGATGCTCTACATAAAACATTAACAGTCCGGTAAATATTTACAAGATTGAGATCAAAACAAGGACTTTTATTAATTTTGATGAGAGGAAACGTTTCAGGGTATCCCAAACAGAGTGGCTCCTACAGAGCTACCTAACTAGAGAGCGTTTGAGTACTCTGGGGTGCACCAGCTCCCTTGGGGTGCCTGCAGCACAGCTGCAGCCAGGCCCCCCTGCGGCAGCACTGCTGGAGCCCACACAGCTGCAGTGCCAGCAGGTGAGCGACTGGCAGGGCAAGATTCCTGGCTCAGTGGAGGCACCCCTCTGCCACCTGCAAAATGAGTCCTGCCCGCAGGGAGGACACAGAGAGCAGAACAGTCTCAGGAAGAAATCAGTGTTGTCAGGGGAAAGTACCTGTGTGAGCAGCAGAACCAGGGAGTGTGATTTCCTCCAATCCAGAAATGTTGGTCAGCCCATTTTACAGCTTTTCCACCTGGCATTTTACAGCTTTTCCACCAATAGGCTGATCTTGGGAGAACCTTATAAGAACTTTGGCGTCCCTCTCACGCTTGTCAAACCAGGTAAAGCCGTGCTAATTTGTGGCGCTCAGCACCCCACTCTGGACACCCTCCCCAACAAAACCCCATGGCACCTTATGGTGATGGACAGCCACCACTGTCCTGGCAGCAAGCAAACAGCTTCTGCTAATTAAGACTTAGTTTTCTGAGTCAGGCTTTAATTCCCTGGAAATGTACTATCAGGTTGTTTGTCAGCATGATGAACACTGAATGGGCAAGGTAATCATGTCCCTGTCCCCTGGCCTGTCTTGTAAATCAGGGATGTGACATGTTTTCCATCTCCGGGGTATAATCTGTGGAACAGATGGAGGTTGTAGAGTACAGGTGACATTAAAAGACTTCTTTGAAAATCTCCCCCATATGAAGTTGGATGTTGATCCAGAGGTTGACTGATTGTGCAACTGTGAGTGTCTCAGTGATTTGGGATCATACAGGACAATTTAAAAATGCAGATATGGAGAATGCTACTTCACTGAGGCCCCTAAGAGACCCATTTTCAGAGGTCTGGAGTCACTGGAAAGGACAGTCAGATATTTTAGAAGTCTCATTCACAACCTTCTTGCACCTTTGCATATCAGTGAATGAATGGCTGTAGATTAGAAATACCAAAAGACTTAGACTGGAAAATAAAATTTAAAATCTGTAGCCGCTTAGGTGGTCCTCCACACTTCGCAGCGAGTTTCAGCATGGTAAGATGCCTGCACCTTCATCTAGGTGTCTTCACCTCTGTTCTGCACCAAAGTGCTCCTCAGGCAGTGTGAAATGGGGATGTCCCATGACTCTTGTGGGACTGCTGTAGCTTTTCTGGACAAGAGCCTGTCTGCAAAACCATGCTCTCCCCTATGGTATGCACCACATGCAGCTCTGGGTTCTGCCTACACCATGGAGCAGACAGCACTCTGCAGCACTTGAGCGTTAACACAGGCATGACATCCATGCCAGCTGAACAGCAAGTTTTATTGTGTTCCCAGAGCTGGGGTGATTTCATTTTGCTGAGATGCTCTTCAACCCCAGCCACCCAGCCATTTGCACAAGCTGCATCTGTCACTTCCCCACATATGTATGATGTCCCATCTGGGCACGATAAGCCCTGCTAACCACCAGCCAACAGGAACAAACGCCTTGTTTGGAGATGCAAAGATGCTCTTGCTGCAGCCTGTAAGAGCAGCAAACCATACTCACAGCAATAAAAAGCACAGGGCAATGAATTAGCAAGTGCACCTCAGTGGAGCCATCCAGTCAACCGAAGAAGGCATAGACACACCTGACAGCTCTCAAACAGATGCACAGCATCACTTTTGTCCATAGAGGCAAAGGTGCATTAAGAACAGAAATGGAAATTGATAACTTAAAAACAATGCATATAGTTACATACAAAAAGGGAGCATGAAATTTTGGCCTAAAGAATATCTTTGCAAGCCAGATAGCTCAAGCAGGAAGTTATGCCCCCACATCTATGGAAACAGCATTCCTGAAAACTTGTCAGCATTTGTTTTTCACTGAGATTTGTCTGTGCATGACCATGTTGTCATTGAATGCTGTCTAATCACAGTAAGTACTGCTCAAATTATGTGATCTTCCATTGGAGACCCCTCTGTGCTTTGCACAGGAAGAGACTGCAGGTGAGGGGCCAGCAGCCCATGGTGCAGGCAGGGCCAGGGTAGCTGTGCATGGGACCATGCTAACACCAGCCTGCCTTCCAGTCAGACCTACACCACAACGTCCTCAGTGCTCACAGACATTGTGGAGACATCCTCAGAAGGACACGTATGTCCTTCCTGACTTTTGGATGACATGCTGATTTTAAAATATCCTTGAGTCTGTTTTTTAAAAATAAAGATAAAGCTCTGACCGAGCTTCTTTTGCATATGTTGAGGAGATAGAGGAAAGCTGGAGTGGTGCACAGTGCCCCTTATTGGTCACTGAGAAATGCTGGACATCCCAAGAATTCTGAGAGAAGGTATCTGAAAAATCCCTTTTAACAAAACTTGCTGTTACTATACCTGATTTCCTTGGGATACATGGTTGCATGTTGCTCTCATTCTAATATAAGCAACATCATTGTGGAGGCAGATGAAAAAAAATGTGGCTTTGATGTGTACTAATTAGGATTTATTTATTTATTCTTTGGAAACCCATTCTCAGAGTCTGGCTGCCACCGAAATGGGCCAGGGCTGGGCTGTGGCAGCTGGAACCAGGCAGAGCTGGAGTGGAGATTCCATCTGAGGGAGAGAGTAGTTACAAGAGGAAATCATATATATGTAGACACAGACAGAAGGGTGTGATTGGGAATGATAAACTGGAACTGCACACAGGGCAGGGGATTACCAAGAGACTGCTCTGTTTTAGGGTGGAGCAGAGTGTGGCTGATGCCGTGGTGTCCTGGTCGTGCCACCTCATCACCTCATGTCCCAGGTGCCACTGCTGTCTGAACAGGAAAGAGTGTGCAGGAAACAGGACAGAATTCACCCAGTGCTTTCGTGGGAAATGAGAGGCTGGTGTGCTCTGATGCAGAAAGGCACTGCTGGCGAATTTCTCATGGTGGCTTGGGAGGATGAGCACGCCAAAGCAGCTAAGGCCCCTCAGAAGCTGGGCTGCAGTTGCTGGCAGCTGGGTCCATCAGAGGCATGAAATGAAACACTGTCATGCTTTGCTTTTTTTTTTTTTTTTTTTTTTTTTTTGTTTGTTTGTTTGTTTGTTTTGGTTTGTTTGTTTGTTTGTTTGTTTTTGAGAGAGAGAGAGATTTGGGAAGAGATTTAATTTTTCTGGAGAATGAGTTAGCTGTTTGGAAAGTGCCTTTCTTTTCTTGGGCAGTGGCCCTGGCAAGGATACAGGTGTCTTGCAAGGAAACTAGGGAAACCCAGGCTACTTTCCATTTATCTTATTCATGAAGGCCAATTTTCTTCTCTTCCATTATGTAATTGTCTTGTCCTCAATTTAATATTCCAGGTTTATGAGGAACAACAAATCAATACTCTCTTTTTTATATAAAAAAAAAAAACAAACTGCTGATTGCTGGTATCTATCTGCATGCTACAATTATATTAGATGTCAGTAATAATTAATTTTAAAAGGAAATTGTTCTTGCTGATTTTTGAATAGCCGGTCAGATCTCATTGTTACTGCATATTCGTCTAAAGGAACATCAGGCTGCTTTGTGCAGGCGCACAGCTCCTGCCTGATGAGGTGAGGGATGGACCCAGCTCACAGGACAGCAGGAAGGTGACACATCTGCAGTGTAGCTCCAGGGAGACTCTCACATTTTCAAATTAAGTGTGTTCTTTGGCTTCCAAGAAAGTGAAAATGCATGCTGAAAACTGAGACAGAGATGTATATCCCTTTGGAAGAAAAACAATTATTTTAATCAAAATAGAAAAAAATCTGCAAGGTCCCCTTCTGCTGCTTTACAGAGACACTTGTTCTTGTATCATATATACTTTGAAGCAAAATCAAACCTCAGTTTTTCTGGCTGGCATACAAACTATTTCTTGTTAAAAAAAAAAACAGCACTTGTAAGTTTTTTGTGTGTTTGTTTTTGTTTTTTGAGAGAGACTACAGGATACAGGATAAATAGGGAGGAAACAACCTGCCCTCACCAGTGACAAACATAATGTATTTCTGAAAGTTTTGCTCAGATCTCTTCTATACCTTGAGGGTCAAATGAGGCAGTTCACTTATGACTCACAGCCTTGTACCTTCTAGGCCAGCTTCAAAATGATCTGTTTATTCTCCATAAAGGGGTCTTCAAGACTGAATTCTGTGCTATTAATGTTGCCTCTCCTTAACAGTACTGCTTGGAGCCATCCCCTCTCTTCTTGTGTATAACAGATATACAATATAATTCTTCCATTTATATAACCTTTCATTTTGAAGCACATGCTTTAAGAAATCTCTAGTGGGTACATGAATGATATATAGCCATCATTTCACCCACCACTGAAGTGCAGCCGCCCCCAGGACTGGGAGCTGCAGCTGCTCAGCAGTGCAGAGCTAGGTGAAAGCACAGTTATGAGCAGCTCATCCTCTCCAGCTAACAATGTGGGGTATTTGGGAGCTCTAGGATATAATTAAACAAACTGGAATTAAGCCAGGACACCAGTGTTAACACAAAGTGACAAAAATTCTAATATTCCAGGGGATCCAAATTCACTGCAATTCTGCCAACTTTACAGCTTAATAAATGACACTAACAACCTACAGGCATCCATACAGTACCAGCATGAGCTACAACCAAGCAAAACAGTTGCAGGTTGGCCTCGTTATAAGCATGTGCTGAAGTCCTGTGGAATTTAAACAATGACAGAAGGGAAGAATACTGCTTGTTGATTCACAATTGTGCTTTACAAATAACCTTTAAGAAATAAGTTTAGAATGTACGTTGTGCAGAAATAAAGTAAAACACTTTAGGAAAAATTCTAGTGAAACGTCAGGTTTCTTAGTTGTTTCAGTGACACTGACTCAAATAGTTTCTTAATCTGATAGGCTTTTTCCTCTTCCTTTACCTGTCGCCTCAGGGTTATTTCTGCAAAATCACTAGAATTTCTTGGTACGTAAACATATTTTAATGTTAGAAGTACTGATTTAGTACATTGTACTAAGAATTAACAATTTGGCCTTAAGTTCCTGCTTCTTTCACTGTACTTGCTTTTTTGTATACTTTTCCTCACCATGACCTTTGTGTGTTTTCAGCAGCATCTCTGCCACCCCACAAGGTGACAGGATGTCAGCTGAGCTAGCAGGTGCATCTCCTCAGGCTCTGGAAATGCATATCACCTGCTGCAGCAATATGAACACCACCATTCACAGCTCCTGGAGGACTCCACAAAGTTCACCTCCATATTGAATCTCTGTCAAAGATGGAAGAGGGGAAAAGTCCCTAAAGATTATAAGCAGACAGTCTCTCCTAATATAGCAGTCTCTCTTTTATTCAAAGGGCTACCTCCACCCTTCTTGAATGTTCCTGTTGTCTGAGATGCCGGAGGTCTAGGAGTTTGGCAGATGGGGAGCGGGGTAAGCACAAGTAATCTATTCTGAGCTTTAGAGAATTTATAGTGAAGACAATTTGGGCTGTTTGTTTTCATGCAACCTCTACTTGCAGTCACCTTTTTGCTCAAACCTTTGGAATGACAGAAATGTGAGTCCCGCTGCTGAAGGGGAAAATGCAGGATACAGGTGTATGTGTATGGGATGGTGAATGTTGGTAATAAGTTTGCCTTGGCAGGTGGTCCTGGTTTGTTGTCTTTCTGCTGGGTGCCACTTGACCATCCCATCAGGGACTGATGTGGGCTCCTTGTATGGCTAAGGTACCTCATCTCCCGTATTGCTCTTCCAGCCTTCAGGCTACACAAATACCTCCTATGTAAACAGTAAGGCAACTCAGTCCTGCTGTGTGAGTGTCAGGCTAGTTTGGGCAAGATACTCTAGTGCACCAGCTGGTTCCTGCCAAGCCTGGGTCAGATGTGTCTAAGGATGGGTGGCTGTAGGGACCCATCCCTATCGTATTGCAGGTGTGACCACACCAAATGTGGTGGCTTCTCCCCTACTCAGTCTCCCAGCATGAATCTAGAAGACTTGCCTCCATGTGCCCCATCCCTAACATGGGCAGAGCTCTGTGGCCGGAGCAGTACCCTGCAGTGATGCAGGAGGGCGCAGGAAAGCAGCTTTTCCAGCAGATGCACAGGGTGGATGCAGCAGCGTTAGGAGCTTTAGGCATAAAGGAGTATTCAGAGTAACCACAGATCAGGCCTGCATGCTGTGAATGTCAGTTGGAGATCTGTCTGTCTATCAAAATCTTTTTGCACAGAGGATGAAGGTAGAGTGGTGCTAACTGTTCTGGCCTATTGTTCAAAAGCATTTTAAATTGCAACATTCAAACAGGCTAGTGGAAGAGTTTCCAGTAAATTTTGAATGTGGCAGATATTTTCTATACTATGGTGGGAAAAAGATTATGGTATTTGCTGCAGAGACGGGAAGATTGATTCTCGCTTGGAAAATCTGCCAGAGCTCTTGATTTAGAGAGCTGATGATTGGTGGAGTGCTTAAACTCGATTTATATCAAGATTTCTTTTTATCTTTATTTTGTACCCTACATGTTCTTATGATAACATCAGCTGGTCTTATTCAGAACGATTATCTTTTTTATTTGTTAATGAATATTTTTTCTTTGAGTGTGTTTGATATTCATGTCAAAACTCTTCTCTAATACCTGCTTGTTTGGAGTAAGGTGACTAAATTCCACTTGCATGAGGTCTGAATAAAATCACTGTGCTTTAGAGAGAGACAACCCACATGTTTCTTGCTGGAGACAGAAGCACACTATTTCAAAAACATCAATCCCTCCTGAGGATCTAATCTGATCTAATCTGAAATCTTTAAAATTATGTAAGCAATCTAAGCTACTCAATACATTTCTTCTAAAGCTCCTCGTATTCATTCCTACTTTTCTGAATAACTTGGCACAAGGGGAAGCAAATAGCCCTCTGACACAGGGCTGTGTGAGCCCTGCGCAGCCCAGAGGTTTGCACTGCACAGCAGGAGGAAGGCAAATGGGAGATTCCGGTTCAGGTCTGCAAGCAGGCAACAGCTTCACTCAGCTCCATGGGCTGCTAATCCCTCTCAGGAACTCCAAATTCATCTGAGTAATTTAAAATGGAGGCAAGCAAGCACAGAAAATGAACCCGTCAGAGGCAAAGAAACTTAAAAGGATAATTGATGTCCCATCGTTATCGCTACAGCAAGCATTTCGTATCATGAAAGTAATACAAGACACTTCTATATTACAGCTAGTTCTGTGTCATTAATTATACTATGAGAAACTTCCTTTTTTTTTTTTTTTTTTTTTGGGTGTGTGTGCTTTACTTTCTGCTCTAGCCAGCCAGGCTCTTATTGCCTGTAAATTGCTTGAACCAATGTGGATCTCTTCTACCCAGTGCCTTTGCAAACTAGGTATCCTGTGTGCTCTTTTGTCTACTCTCCTTCCCTTATTAATTAGTTTTAATTAAATTACTTAAAAATAAGATTTGTGACTTTCAAAAATTCATTTACCAAATCAAAAATTCATTTAGGGAAAAAAAAAAAAGAAATAAAAAAGTGATAGTTATTCTGCAGTACAATATTAACAATTAATAGTATTTATGAGCGGGTGCTCACAGTGATTAGAACAGTTGCAATTATATCAATCCAAACTGTGACAAAGTAATACAATTAATTAAAAGTGAAAACAAGAGGGAGAGAAGGATTAAAGTAGTGAAGAATCTGCAGTAACTGTTTTTTCCTTTTTTTTTTTTTTTTTTCTCTTCCCATCCTGCAGAGGGATGCTTTGTGAATGAAAAGATCAAATTCCTGAGATCCAGTTTTGGGCAAACTAATTCATCCTGGCCTGGGCTGTGCAGCCCTGCACCATTCCTTCTACTCCATTCCATTACATTGAGGTACTTGTTGCATAAAGCATCCCAATCCAGCAAGACAATGATTTAAATGTCTGGGGGATGGGAGCTCAAGGTTTTAGTCTGAAGCATGGGTGGTTACTTATTCCCCTTGCAGAAGTCTTCTTGGACCAGAAAGCTCTGAAATGGATCGTTTAGGGAGGGTGTGTTAATAGAAGTTGAGCCTGAAAAGACAGGTTAAACAATATTTTCTGGGTTTAGCCATGGAAAGGAAGACAGATTATTGATCTGTGACTTCTCCAGCTCCTGTTCTTGTTTTCTGGGAGCCTGAGCAAAGTCTATCTTAAAAGTGGTAATGTCTGATAAGCCAGTTTGCAAATGAACACACCTGTTAATTGTTTTAAAATGTCCCTCCACAAAATACCTGTTAAAACTTCACTCTTCATATTTTAAAGGGAAGCTTTGTTTTATGTTCTTCTGTTCAAATATTGTGTGGCTGAGTAGCAGCAAAGTGAATAATAGTTGAGTGCATAATTTTGATCTAATTACATTGGTATGGAATTGCAGGTGAAGCATTAAGCTGATTTGAAAAAAAAAAAATCTCTTTGCAAGTATTTGGTATTGACAAAAAGGTCATTATGCGTTTATAGCAATTTCTGCTTTTGTGCAGTGAGGTCAGGTCAAGACCAACATTGTACTTGTGCCTCCTGGGCTTTAGACAAATCCTGCATCGGTCTAATGCTGAGTGGCACAGACATGAATTTCACCCTTACTTCATGTGGCTTTCAGCTAACGAGAGAACATTTAGATTTATCTTCTTACATCTTTAGTGCTCTTCGAACAATAAATTGATATATAATTAACATAGACAATCTTATTAAATCTATATTAGGGAGCTTATTTCAGACAATTGATTTTTTTAAATTGAAGGTGATACAAAGCACCTCTCCTCACAAGAGTAATTTTGGTTCCTCACTGAATGTATCAGACCTGAAATGGGTAATACCCATCAGGGTGTTCCTTGGCTGGTGTGTCATCTGTGAAACCAAACAAGTAATTCACATTGAATCATTTCACTTTTGAGTACCACTTGTGGTTTATCTACTAATATATTGAGTGTTTTGTGGATGTTTTCCCCATTTTCTGCAGGAATTACCCCAGGGTGGGCAGTGGACTCTGCCTGGAGTCCATGGGGCCATGCCGAGCTATACGACTGGCTGCAGGAGGGTGCAGGGGGATGAGCGGTGCTGGGCCAAGCAAGGATGGCAGTGCCCATGGGCAGCCTGTGTGTGGCCTCACACCGGGCTGTGGGGGAGCACCATGGATGTCCCCTGGGAGGCTGAATTCTCCCAGGGTCATTGTGGCTGCATCAGTCCTCTCTGTTACTAATGAGGAAAGACTTGCTCTTCTCTCTAGCCTTAGTGGCTATTCTCACTTCTCCTCATTTAGACCTTCACTTGAGTCCCAAGACCAGAAATCTTGGTGTCATTTTGCTCTGAGCAGTTTGCTTTTACTCTTCTCAATTCTATCTAAATCTGACTCTCTCCATCTTCATTACTTTGACAGGATTCTGACTTAAATTGACCTTGTGCTGGCTGAAGTCTTTTTTTTTTTTCTTTTCTTTTTTTTTTTTTTTTTTTTAAAAATCAGCTTTTTGTATCTAATTAAGCTTTCGGACAACAACTCCTGCTGAGAGCAACATGGATCCCAGCCAGTCTTATTCTACATCTCCTCTCCCAGCACAGAGATTGCAGATATTCTCGGTTGTAGCTCTCTCTAAGTGCCTTATAAAGGAGTCAAAGATTGTTACCCACAGAAAAAGAAATGCACAAAGAGGAGAAAATGACTTTGTTCAAAGTCAACTGCTGGAATATTGACAAGTATGAGCAGACCTAGTGAACAAATCTCTCCATGGGAAAACTGTGTCCCTTAACATCAACCAAGAACATCCTCCTCTTGCATAAAGTTTGTGTTCCTAGGATTGCTAAGCCAGGCAGTAGCTTGGTGCAAAAATTATCCTGGTCCCTCAGCAGGAACTCTCAGCACCATTTGCTCCTAGCCGCTGGTGATAGCAAAGCCATAGGGGAGAGATGATGCATAAGGCATTTGGAGAACAGAAGGACCTTTTCTCAGTGATACTTGAGGAAGCCATTGACTTGGCATGCACTGAAGTTCTCTGCTCTCTTGGTGGTGCCAGGCTTTGGCCTTTGGTCGCCCCCAAGGACCTCTCAGCCACTGCTGGCAGAGTGGCACTGGAACCGCGGCGTGGGACCAAGAAGGAAAGGGAGGGGCTGGGGTGTCTGCAGCACACAGCTCGGGCTGCTGGCACCCTGTGGCTGGTGCAATGCTGCTGGGACCATGTGCTGGGCACTGTGTTGCAACACTGTGTATTGCCTGACACACCTCTTGCCCTGGGCTGTGCTGCCTTGTTCTGCATTGGAGGGGCTGTGGGATTCTGGCACCCTGAATGATCTTGCTAGGACAACAACAGCTCAGGCAGCAGGTCAGGGTAACTTGCTGCCTTCCATGTTTTGCTTCATTTTCTTCTCTCCCCTTTCATTAATTCTGGAATGAGCAAAGCATGTACAACACACACACACACACACACGCTTGTCTAGGGCTTCAAGTGTTTATTCCAAAAGAAGGTTCCACACTGACTTTTTTTTTCTTTTCTTTGTGATGGCTGTGACAAACACTTAACCACCTATATTTGTTGTTGATGTTGCTGCTGCTATTGTTGTGTTTGTAATTAATGTAATTTATTCTGTAAAATATCAGAGTTATTTAGTAAACATGCCTATAGAGATTTGTCCTAAATAACAGTGTTTTATTAATACAATCCTTAGCTACTCAGCTCAAATAACTTTTCAGAGCTGGAAATCTCTCACAGAGAAACCAATTGTGAATATTAAAAGGGATTTGGAGGAGGAGGAGGCAAGAATTACACTTTCAAATATTCCACTAAGTTGAAGATTTAACCTAGCAACATCACAGAATCCCTGCACAGGCTCACAACCTCATTTAGTTTTGTATTAGAAGACTTGGTTGCATTTTAATTGTGTACATAATATTATTGATATTTAACAATTGTTTCTGTCACCTTCCACCTCAATCAGCATTGCAAAATACAGCTTGAACTAACTGGGAAGTAATTTCCTAGCTAATATTTCTTCTCATCTCATGAGAAAAGTTGATACAACAGCTAGCGTATCATGGATCAAACAGCCCCAGTTTCATGGTTCTGCTCATTCTGTAGGCTCCATGTCAGCTCCACTTGAAACTGAAGCTATTTTATCTTGCGTAATGAGTGGATAGATTCTGAATTCTCTTGAATTGCATTTTCCTCCCATTGAAATATACTAGCCCTTAATAAAATATTCCTGGGATTTAAATGGTCTTTACGCACTGCTGCCCTATAACTTAGAGAGAAGCTAATTGTTTTATAAGAAAATTACCTGTAGCTCAGTTTCTACCACTACCACTTTATCCTTTTCCTGAAGCAGCTAAGAAATGTGTCAACTCTGTCAAACACAGATAATGGTAACCATGTTGGAAAACATTCTACCCTCTTACAATTTTTTTTTATTTTTTGTAATAGTAAGTGTTATCTTCACCTTAAATCAAACACACTCCACAACTCTTGCTACATGATGCTATACTGTTCCAGAAGCAAATGGTGAAGCAAACAGCCTGAGTCTTTTATTTGCCTTTTTTTTTCTTTTTGTCTTCCTTATACTACTTACATATAGCAACTTTTGTGGTTAATACAGTAATTGAATTGTCTGCTGGAATTCCCCACTTGCCATTGATTTAATTGCTTGCTTGGGAGCATGCTAATTGTTTATTGACACTGTTCAGATCCCATGCTGGGGTTAGACAAATCTTCAGACTAAGCTGTGCTGTGGGCTGACATCTCAGACAAGTTTGTGCTCTGCAGACTATGTGAAAGGTCCTTGCTGCTAAATGCTAACAACGCTTGGCTGTGCTCACTTCTGGCACTGGATCTGCCCAGCCTATTATGCCAGTACAGAACAGCAATGCATACAATTGCTCTGCATAATCAGTATATAAATATACCTACTATGAATACATTTTCTGAGTCCAGTTCATGTGTTGGGTCCATGAAATCTGTGTGCACCATGATGCATGCTCAGGTGACACTGACCCTGACCCACACCCACGGGCTGCAGTGACTGTGTGGTAAAGTGAGGGAAGTCAAGATTATCTCTGGAGGAGATTTGTAGTTATTGCTTGAGACACACAGCAGCCATACAGCTCTGCTTGTCTCCCTAAGTGATCCTCCCTATATTTTTGGTATCTGTTGCTATAGGTTCAGTCTGTCATGCTGAGCTGCACTTAGGGTTTTCGAACATAGAAAGTAAAGAGTGGAGATATTTCAAGGTTGGCCTTTGTATGGTTCTCAAAGCCTTTGCTCATTGCATTGGTCGATGGTGTCATATCCATGCTATAAATGGTACCTGTACTCTATAACTAAACAGATATGTCTGTGAGGGCTTTTATTTTCCACCTTATTCCCAGCCATTAGCTAGCATTTTGCCAGTGTTCGCAGTTGGCCCTTCAGGGTCATCTGAAGCCTGTTTTCTTACATGAAAAGCATGCTTTCTTCAGTGAGCTTTGAATCAAGCTCTAACAGTTTCAAATTCAGTCAGAAGTGGAAAAGAAGGCCATTTGGAGAAGGGTATAGGCTCTATGTATTATAATATATTTATGCTACACATATAAAATCCACTCTGCTGTTCTAATTTAAGCATGCACAGCATGATAATGTAGAGACATTGCCTGGCCATCTCCTGATTATACTGTAGCAGAGAAGTTTTGATTTAACCTTTTGCTATTCTGAAGGTCTCAGAAGGACTGTTTCTGCTGGATACTGTAATAGTTTTCATATTGCTAAATTTTCCTAGCAAGTCTGCACTTTAATAAGGAGATAAGAGCTTCAGTCCCTCCTGGTTTTTAATAAAGTGTATCACTGCAAGTCAATAACCTGTCAAGTGCTGCTCACTGTGTGCAGCTAAAACAACTGA